TTTTGCACTCTTTAGCCTAAAAAGGTGATCTTTACCTTGAATACGCAATATATTGACATTGACTTTCCTTGTAGTGGTACTTATCCCGCTCATGAAAACGGTAGTTATGTAATACAGTGGCCATAGAGGTGCAACGGTACTTAACTGGCACAGGAAAGATTAGCTTCCACGAAATGGCAATATTCTTTGTCATATGATGTCATCCTTTCTTAACTAACATGTATATATAAGTATGTGTTTATATATATATATATATATATATATATATATATTATATGTCATATATGTACTTATATATATTCGTATATGTATGTGTGTATACACAAATATAGATGTAGTATATATATATATATATATATATATAAGAGAGAGAGAGAGAGAGAGAGAGGGGGGGGGGAGGTGGCATAGCTCAGTGGTAGAGCACTGGCTTTGGAATTGCAATGTCCTGGGTTCGCGCCCGGCTGTCCCTCCCAGTCGACTCAGCTGTGAATGAGCACTGGCTGACGTCAGCATGCTAGGGTCAAATTCGGGGCGGATAGGAACTGGCCACCCTACCGCATCATCCCGCGGCTTAGTAAGCATGTTTCTCTATAAAGCATGTCCCCTTACGTCCAGATGGATATAGGACCAACTTTGATATATTATATATATATATATATATATTATATATATATATATATATATATATATATATATTCGCATACACACACACGCCTCTCTCTCTCTCTCTCTCTCTCTCTCTCTCTATATATATATATATATATATATATATATATATATATAGGATGAGAGAGAGAGAGAGGGAGCGTAGTTCGGTGGTAGAGCACAGGCTTCTCTGGGTTCAATGGACTACAGGCTACTTATTGGGATCAAAGTCACATCGGAAAGGAACTAGACACTCTATATTATCCCGTAGTTGAGCATGCATGTTTCTCCATGAACATGTCCCTTCCATCCTCTTGGGTATGGGTCAGAATTTGACTCTGATATATATATTTACATATACACATGAATGCGTATTCAACATGTATCCTCGCATAAAAATAGTGATGTACTAGTGATCAAACGCCTTATAGCCATATTTATCTGGCACAGGAAAATGCTACTTACGTGACGGTACCTTTTATAACTTGGTAGGTATATCTTTTTCGTCGTAGATTAACATAGTGCTACTTACCTGGCACAGGAAATGTACATTAAATAGGATAGGGACCAAATTAAGTTTCAATGTAGAAAGGTGATGTCTCAATTCGCACTTATTAAACATGAGTAAAACTGCCCTACCATAAGCATCAATATGTACAAAGCAAACAGTATTTCTATATTGAGGTGCGAAAATAGTCCCCCAAAAATGGTATGGTTCTCTTGTTAAAGAAGCGTAACTGTTGCAAACATATATAACTTGCATGTGAATGTAGCATTCCTGTGTTTACAAAACAGTTTTACGTCTGGAAATTGTATATTTTTATCATGGTCAGAGAAAAACCTCAATACAGGTTGACCTTTATTCTTATCTACTACGTAGAACATTTTTACATGGTACTTATCCCATTCATTAATGCTGCAGTTAAGTGATAATCTGGATATATAGGTGTAACGGTACTTAACTGGCACAGGAAAGATCATCTTCCACGAGATGGTAATATTCCTTGTTATATATCCTTGATTCCTAATCCCCACACAAACACACATATACGTGTTTATATACATATTTATAATATATGCATTTGTAATGTATATGCAAAAGCTATTCATATATATGGAGGTCAGGTAGATCATTGGTTTTACTACTGCAAGTTTCTACTACTGGCTTGCTGGAGTCAAGATCATAAAGGAAGGGAACTGGCCACCCTACCATGCTATCCCGCAGGTTAAAATGAATGATTTTCTAGGAGAATGTCCCTTCTATTCTCTTGGGTATGTCTCGCACACGAGTGATATACATCGTATAGTGGTACTTACCTGGCACAGGAAAAAGGTAGTTATTACATTCAGGTATATACTCTTCGTCGCATATTAGCGTAGTGCTACTTACCTGGCACAGGAAACTGATGTACATCGAACATGACTGTGGCCAAATAACGTTACAATCTTCATTATGGTAGTGTCAATATGTACTAACCGAACATTATTTCTTTATAGAGGTGGGAAAATGGTGTATATTTACCCCCACAATATAGTATGGCTCTCCTCAAATAGTGCATATTTCCGCCAAAATATGGTATGGTTCTCTTGTTAAAGAAGCGTTACTGTAATACAGAAACGAAGGTCACACATGATTTACATTACGCGAATTTAATATTTCTGTTTACATAACAGTGGTACTTATCTGGCACAGGAAATTGTATTCTTCTCATGTCATGGTGGTCAAAGTGGGTCAAATTCAATACAGAAGGTTGGTCCCTTAATTCTTACTATGTAAGGAAAAACTTTATTTTCTACAGGGAGCAAGATACGTAATGGGGAGATAGCAGTTATTGCTTAAAATAGTGATATTAAGCTTAAACGATAAACAGGTAGCATTGACATATTTCAAGGGTGGTACTTATCTGGCACAGGAAACTAACTTTCCCTGTATTGGTACTTATCCTGCTCATGAAAACGATATTTATATGGTATAAATATAGTTGTGCAGTGGTACTTAACTGGCACAGGAAAGATGATCTTCAATCGGATACCATTATTTTTTATCACATGAACATATCCTCTCCCTAATCTACATACACACATATAAATATACATAGACTATTCATATGTACAGAAGTGGCGTAAGTGGTAGAGCGCTGGCTTTGCTACTGCAAAACCAGAGCCGGTAGCTGAGGTCAAAGGAAATAGTTATCCTACCATATTATCCGGCAGATTAGTATGCATGGGTCCTAATATATATATTATATATATATATATATATATATATATGTGTGGTGTGTGTGTGTGTGTGTGTGTGTGTGTGTAAATTATATGTATACACGTGTGTATATTTACCATGTGCAGTTTATAAGGAATGATATACTAGTACTTGAACATCGTTTGGTGGTACTTATCTGGCACAGTAAAGTGGGACCAAGAAACTCTTCTTGGTGGTTTCACCGATTCATATGTATCTGTTATATATATATATATAGATATATATATGATTATATTGTTGTATGTATATCTACATTATAGATATATACAATTATAGATATATACAATTATAGATATATTACCAAAACTTCTATATATAATTTTTACATGGATTTATAATATTCTTAAATATGTTTGCATATGCATGCTTGCACTCAAATATCAAAAGGTGGTACTTATCTGACACATGAAGGTGGTCCTCCCGGTTACATGGAACCACGGACTTATATGACAAGGAAGATATACTAATGATGAAGTGGTACTTATCTGGCACAGGAGAGCTATGCCGTCATGCCATGCGGATTTATCATAATAATGAAGTACCCGACACAACCTATAATGCCATGTCATGTCAAAATCCTGTGCTGTATATATATATATATATATATATATATATATATATATATATATATATATATACATATATATATATATATATAATACATATATATATATTTATATGCACAAACTTACATGATAAACAGATAATGTTAAACAAAGCAGAATGGTACTTAACTGGTATAGAAGTTGGTGCTTCCGTTTCGAACACGCTTCAACCTGCCCTAAACTTGACCTAAAACAAACCCATTAAAGTCAGGCCAACTCTATCCTGGTCCTATGTAACCTAACTGAATCAAACTGAATATAACCTAATCAAATGGAATCCACCCTAACCCAATATGGCCTACACAAACCCAAGCTAACCTAACCGAACACAACCGTACCCACTATAATCTAGTAGAACTCAATCATACCCGATCTAACGTAACCCAGCCTATTAAGCTATCCCAGCCCAAGTTAACTTGATCTAACTTAACTAAATCCAACTGAACTATACAATCATTCATGATTCATTATCTCTGTTATTATACAGTTGTCACAGAAGAAAAAGGAGTTTCGAAGAGATACTATGATACATCATATCTGATTTTCGAAACACTGGTCCAGGGACTATTCATTTTTACCTAGTCAACATTAGAGAGGAAAAAAATACTTCACGAATATATCAAACAAAGCAACTTGATAATTCATTTAATAGGCACTTTTCTACCCGCAGATTTTTATTCTTGGAAGACGTCTATACAACCGGACTCGCCGCCAAGAAAGGAGGAATCTCTCACTATAACATATTCACTCTTACAAACTCTCTACCCAACAAAATTGACGTGTTTTGGTGTTCGGGAGCAAGAGTATTTCAAGTAAGTATATAATGGCTGAATTTCTGGCTATTCAAGGGCGTTTGATATGGCTGTTCGTAAAATTTTAAGACTACAAAAAGCTCTGCCAAAAAATGAAACAAAATTTAACTCCTTTAGTGCGCATTTTCACCTCGAAAGTATAATTAACCTGGATATGCAATGAATTATCTCTTCCTTGCTGTAAATATCTAAATTTTCTTTGTGATAAACATGTAGTCTACTTTCTGTGTATGTATGCATAGAGAGAGAAAAGGTGTTCATGGACAAGTATTCCCTCCCTCTCAATATATATATATATATATATATATATATATATATATATATATATATATATATATATATATAATGTATGTATGTGTATACCTATATACTATATAATTCCTATATAATACATGAACATTAATCTAACGCATATTTGATTACTTCCTTCAGGAAAATGTAGGTCTAAAAGAAGCAACGAGAGGCTGGAACAAGATTCGTGAGTTAGAGGGCATCATTGAACCTCCAGAATATGTCTTCACTCCCTGACATTCAACTGTTATCGTTCCTCTTATTTTCCCTTCGTGGTCTGAGTTTCCGTTATGAACTTTCTACTGTATGTTTGTTTTTGTACTTTGTATTTTTCCTTAGCATATGTCTTTGGCAATACTCTTTGCTAATTATTTACTTACTTTTATATTAATTATCTTGTTTTTTTGTATAATTACACTCATTAGATATCTTAAGCCACTTCTTGTTTGACAGGCTTTTTTTTTGACACAGAAATGGTATGTTGTACCCTATTCATGACAAACTGAACCACATTTAAGGCTAATATGTTGTAGATTATTTGACTATTTCATATGTATAATAATTATAACATACACTTGTAACTCCCAAATAACATTTCGTAGAACCTACGATTAAAAAGGGGAAGGGTACCAAAAGAAAAATGGAGACATATATTGTACAGAATAACAAATGTGAAAATGTAATAAAGTATTTATATCGACAAGCCTAAATTGTGTTTTCGTGTATTGTAGAAATTTAATTCCATCAATTATTTTCTACGACAGATATAAACACCATCAAATCAATTACTGAACACAATGGACTACAGTAACAGCTACATATTTATTCAACAAAATATTATGACAATCATATTATCATAATGGTATTATTATGTAGGAATAAAACTACGAATAAAAATGTGTACAATTATTATATATTCAAATGTATATAGATAATTTACCAATACTATGTTGTTATAATCTGAACTGTCTGTCTTAAATGGTAAGGCCTATGAATGAACAATTTTCCTATTTTCTCATACGTTAAAAAAAAAAAAAAAAAGACTCCATTTACAAGTGTAAACAAGTATCATCAAAACCAGCAATGTATATGAGAGATATACAGGTGGTGCAGACAAATCAAATCAGTTTGAATATAGTGTGACATCGTGTTTATAACGCTAACTGATTATCCAGTGGTAAAAATTATATTGATAGCTCATTATATTTATCTAAATTAATATTCAGCAGTCAAGATTTGGAGTTTTTAATGATTATGAGACCGGCATGCTCTGATATCCGAAGCATTTTTTTTTTTTTTTGGGGGGGGGGGGGGGTATGGTATCCCGTGGTACTTGCCATACCACAATAATTGTAAGACAGATGACGTGTGATTACTGGGTATCGATAGCATTAAGGTAACTGTAAAATTATGGATTCTGTGATCACTCAAAGTGCCACTTCTAAAGCAAAATCTAAAGACGAACAACGTATGTCAGCTATTAAAGAAATACATACTAATAAGCTATATTCAAAGCCGCAGACCTAGCTTCAAACGCTCCCTGCAGAGCCATTCTCTTTTATGTTCTTTAGAAAAATTCTTTTGTACTGAACTCTAAAAGGACTGGAGATGTAAGGAAGAAAAATCTCATTAAGGCTGTGGAGATTACAATTTTCTTATGATGCCTTTTTTAACAAAGTGAAGAAAAACGTGATTTGCAAAGACAAACATATCTACCATTATTGGCTAATCATACTGATGGATCTCCAGTAATGATTACCAGTAAAAACATAAAAAGTTAAACATAGGAACCATTGATAAAATGAAAGCCCTTGTCAACGAAATGGCGCTGTTCCCTGGAATATAGACAACAGCTTTCAGATTAAAAATTTCCATTGAATATAAGTGAGTTTGGAGTTAGAAACCGAAAATACGAATTGCTAATGCTATTTTGACCTTTCTTAAGAATGGAATCGTTTCTTTCTCAGAAAAACTAAGAGGATAGTCACAGTTGTTTTTCTCCGGAACGAAAAAAATAGATAATGTAATTGTTTATACCTAAAACCGTATACTTTAGCAAGGAATTTTCGCTGATATCCCAAGATATACAAGTCACTGCAGACAGATTTCAACTTTGTTTGACATTGTACATTTTGGAGAGCTCATGATGAAGCATAAGTTCTCCTAATAGTACTTCCTGGCCACTGCCAATATGATATTAGGTAATCTAGCTACCTACGCCACCATGATTTGTCCGTCACAATAATTTTCTCCATGCAAATTCAAGGAAAATTTGGAAATGCAACCCCACACCGTATTTTGAGTGAAAAGAATAATTTTCTAATAATGTTTCGAACAAATCTAGCCCTCATTTCCTTCGTAAACGAAGCATAATTACAATATCGGTCCCAAGAAATATCGGAGGAACACTAGCAAACATTTCCGGCTCCCTTAAAGCCCCTTTCAGAAAGGGCTACCCCCACCCATGCTTGGTCTATAAACTCACTTCGTATAATCCGGCAGGATAGAGCCCGGGCACACCAGGTACCTGATATGTAATCAGTAAATATAGGGGGCTTCGCCCTTTTGAATCCCACCCCCCATCTGGTCTACAAAATCTTCACCTCGTATGTTCCAGCAGGAGAGAGCCCAGACCCAGGAAGAATTTTAACATCTTACCTTCAGCCTTACAAGCTGCGGGTCACTGGGATCGCCTGAGCCATCCAGGTCGTTGTTGGGGGGAGGTGCGATGGCCATCCACCGTTCCTCGATCGGAAGGGAAGTGTGTGTACAGTTTGCGGCCTCGACGAAGAAGAAAACGTACGGTGAGGCGCGAATAGGTAACTAGATGTTCAGTACATTCGTAGTAATCACTCAACAGAACACCATTACAGGACCGACTACCTATAGCTTCCACTGACCAAGTACACTGTGATTCGCAGAATATCTTAAGCCCTTGCACGTTGTTTGTATCTATATTTCGACGAATGTGAAGAGTTTTAAGCCAAATATTATACACACCCTACACAGTGTAAGCATGATGGAATTCTAGCGATATGAACCTTTAAAGCTGTCACATTCTCTAAGCACGCTTCTCTATCCATCATCAAATAGTACCTGATGACATCAGTATTCCATTAAATATCATAGATCCCTCGCGTTATCATATCTGATGAAGTGTTTCTCCAACAATTTCTCGAATGTTACATCACTTTCTCACACAGCTACCACCCCGTTAACTCTAATTTCGCGATCGTTATTATGAGTAATTCCCTCTAATATATGCTACGATACTCCGTCGTGACCAAAAGATATCTGTTACAAGATTGTTCCTTTGGAATTGCCTCAACAAAAAGTTAATGTTTGCTTAATTTTGTCACAAGGGTGGAGGAACTGGCGAAGTTTGTGTGTATGCAGGCATTCTCCGTAAACATCGCTCCGACATTTTATTTTATCTTTTTTTTGATTACCAGTTATTATTCAATTTGCGGAGATAAAAATTGAGTTGATAAGTTGGCTTTCCAGCACTTATATATATTTTGCTATAATCTATTTATCGGATATTAGAAGATTAATTTGTGGTATCTAACTACGTTGGTCTAAGGCCTCATGATTTCTTATTATAATTTTAGGTAGTTTATTTGACGGTTTGTTTACAATATATACCAAATTTCATGCGCATAAATTCTGAGAAATAAGTCATTAAGGGTAAGCAGAAGGTCACTGCCTACTTTACTAGTGCTGAACAGGCATTCAGGTGTTTCTCAAGTGTGTGTGCAAATAAAACTGTATTAGGTTTTAAGTTACCATCATCATCGACATGACACCCGTCGCATTAACAACGTCTAACTAACTTTTCTCTTATTAGGTGAGCTGGTGCTCCCACTTATCCAAATGAATCTTGATTACCTTATGTCACTTACGTTCGCCAGCAACAGATCTGTAATGGTTTTCGATGCACAATCTACGTCATACTTCCACCCACCACTTTCGGAGTGCCACTTAACCCTAATGTCAACAGCAACCTCGTATGCCACCTCGTGCGAAGGCATTTGTAGCCTTTTACCCGCTCGCCCAAGGCGGAGGAAAAAACTCCGAGGAGAAATGCGCAACATGAAATACATATTTGATATTTACAACAAAGTATCTGATATTTCGTTAATAATATTATAATTAAATTTATTTACCACATATAATACTATAAACATTCCTTCTGAAGACTTTGAACTTCTATTAAAAAAAAAAAAAAAAAAAAAAAAACATAAAAAAAAAAAAAAAAAAAAAAAAACCCAAATCCAAAGTTATAGTAGACCCGTATATATATAGGTTATTACATTACATATATACTATAGATTATAATATATATATAATAAGTACTACAATAATATATATATATTCTTACTATAATAACCTATTTCAATAGTATTTATATATGTTAATTTTGTATATCAATTTACACTCGCCAATACTTTCCCAAACCATACATGTCTGCGACCGTCACCCCATTCACCTACTACCCAATCAGCCGTGTTCCATTTATATCCGATTCTCTTACATCTTTAAGCTTGGAAAGTACATAGAATATTTATGACAAATGGGCTTAATGTTTACCTTTCGCTTAGTTTCAATTATTACAAGCTCTGGATGATAGCGTTGCTCGATATTTCTACCACGTATTACCCTGAAATAAGTCCAAAATAGATATTTCAAATTGAAGCTTGGTTATATAAAAAGAATAGATACAGGAAACAGCGTATTAAGATACTACAATGTTATCATATTGACGGGAGGTTGAGAAAATGTAGTATTACGAGTAAATTTGACAATAAACACTGTTCGTTTATGTGCCCTGAGCGCATGATTTTTTGTGCCAGGGGTGGATTCCTAGCGCTCCGTACTCGTCCAACTATCCAAGATATATTAAAATTTATGCTGCCGGACTCCCCCATCATACCATAGTAATAGATATTGGTCGTTGATAGACGCAATTACCCAAACTTTGAGAGGTACAACAGGTAATCAAGTGCGTGGTAAATTTACTTGTGAGTTAACATCCACAAAATTTCAGTCACCTATGTTGTTCTCACGTATTATACCCAGGTGGGTCTGCCGCACCGCTGACAGCCCGATCCACAATTTACGGCTAAGGAGACAGAGTTCTAAGGTCTAATATACATACTTATTAGACTTGACAGGTATTACCGATACGCCTAAGCGCCGACAGACTTGCCGGGAATCATAGCCTCGACGCGTCGAATCCAGCATGCGAATATTTTGAAACGTTCTTTTTCTTAGTTGGAGTCTGAGGGGGAGCAGAGGTTCCCAGATGGTGGATGCTTGACTACTAGGGCACCAACACGCTGTCACTTTAGACCATATATTTTTTTTATTAAAGTGACTGTTTCTGT